GAGCAAGGGGGGGGGGGATGGGTCAGTTCTCACGCACCGCCACCATAAATCGGACGGGGGAGAAGGGCAGGATGGGGAGGTCCTCCTCCTTCTCCTCCTCATCCTTTTCCTCCTCCTCCTCCTCCTCCTCCTCCTCCTCCTCCTCCTCCTCCTCCTCCTCCTCCTACCTGTGGTGGTGGGGGTGGTGGAGAACCGGCCCATCAGGGGGGGGTTCTTGCCAGGCCGGGGCGCCGATTTGGCGTGCCGTTCGGGGGCGCGGGAGGGACGAGGGACAGCGTGAGGGGGGGGGCGCGGGGCGCGTTTTTTCGGGGCTCGGGGTGTCCGGGCGCTTCTACTAGTTCCACGAGATCTCGCCAAGTAGCGAAGATGAAAAGGTGTCACCTGTGACGGCCTTCCTCAACCTTCTCCTTCTCCTCCTCCGCCTCCTCCTCATCATTCTCCTCCTCCTCCTCCGTAGCCATTTTGGCTCAAGCCATTTTGGCTCAAGGTTTTGGTTTCCCCTGGGAACAAGGTGGATACCGCTAGTCCGCGGCCAGCTTTCGGAGCTTCTGGCCACCTCAGTCGAGCCGCGCGCTGCTGAGTGTGAGCCGCCCTTTCACGACGACGGCCACTTGCCTCCCTCCAGTGGCCAGCCTGCTTTTCTCCCGATGGCGCCTGCTCCGCCGAAGCCGTCTGTCCTCCGACGACCGCGACGGTCAACGTGGGCATGCGGGCGCTGCGCCGCGAGCGCCAACTGGGCGAGCCGCATCAGCTGCGCTTGCGGCAATGAGGCGCCCGCTCGCATTCAGAAGAAGGCGTGGGAGCAGCAGGCAGTATGGGATGAGCAGTCTAAAACGAAACCTTCAGGTGGTGCCCGCCAGTCCAAGGCCCAGCCCGGCGAGCTCGGCAAGAGGCTTGCGGCGATCGGCGATTGAGAAGTCCCTCGCCATTTTCTCCCGCGGCAGCAGCGGCAGCGGGCAGTCCGAGAAGCCGAAGTTCATCAGGGCCCCATGGGCTGCTATATGCCGCAGAGGAGCCCAAAGAAGATGCCACATATGAAGATACACGAACCAAATATGCAGCGAAGTTGTCCTGTTTCGAAGCCAGCCTCAAGACCCTGCCGGCTGGTGAGGCAGGTGCTGAGTTTCGCAAGCCAATCCAGGACCATAGCTATCGATCACATCAAGTCGCTGCAGACAGGCCTCCCCCCCCCAGGGCGGCCCAGTAGCTCAAGAAGGCCAAGCTTGCGCAGGCGAGGATCGAGAAGGAAACCCAGGAGGAGCAGCAGTTAGAGAAGCTGCGAGAGAGTCTGGAGTCCAAGCGCACCGGCCTCGAGCCCAAGAAGCAGGAGGTTATCCCCCTGCAGCGGGAGTTTGACACAGCGGCCGCATCTGTTGTCGGCAAGTCTCCGTCTCCTTTCCCGTGCCCAATGCTTGAGGTCAAGAAGAAGGACATCGACGATCCGGAGCTCAAGCAGATCCTTGACACATCGCTGCGGGGCAAGCTCCGTGAGGTATTGGCGGCGAAGGTACCACTGCAGCCGACACACATGGACACCGATAACCCTTCTGATGGTGACACTGGACATGGCGATGCTGCTGCTGGTGCCGCTGGGATCCCCGTGCCCGAAGGCGACCCAGTCCTCAAGAGAGGAATCGATGAGCTGGACGAGGAGGATCACAAGGATTTGTTCAGCATGTCTCAACCTGGTGACTTCGCAAGTTTCTTGGACGAGTGTCGAGAGCTGGGCAAGAAACCAAGCATTCCTAACAGTTGTTTTCGAGCACCAGGCGTTCGTACCATCAGGGGCCTCCCTCGACGGCCCGCAGAGCCTGAGTCCCAAGGTTTGTTGTGCACCGAATTCATTGAATGCCCACGGAGGTCGAGCCACCTTCAAGCCCCGTCTTAGTAAGAGCACAGCCGTGATTCTGATGTGCCAGGAGATCGGGTGCGTCCATGACACGGTTAAAGAAGATGTACAATTGGGATGCCAATATTAGATGGAGGACGACAGCTATCCCAGACAGACCCTGCTCAGGAACGGTGCCGTCAAGTGGAGTAGCAGCGTTGGCTCGTGATGACGTCGGTTTACGGCGCCCCCCTGACGGCCACTTTACAGCGTGTCCGCAGCGACCTCCCAGGGTGGCCTGGCTTGACGGCTCCCAAAGGTTATTTTCGAAACTCTATTGGGCCCACTGGTATCGGTGCAGATATTCTCGCGGCCGCTGGACAGATCTTGCCACGTACTGCCACGCCGAGTGTTACCAGCGGGGATTGGAACATGCCTGCGGTTGACCTTGAGGCCTCTGGGTCTCTCGCATGGCCAATGTCACTCCTGCTGTTCCTGGTCAGATCACGCTCCGAGGAGGAATGGGGTCGCCCACCATTGATGTCTTCGGCATGAATGACGCAGCGCATCGAGGTTACCAAGGTGTCAAGGCTGATGTGCAGTGGCACAAGGCACATAGGTAAGCACAGCTACAGTTGACAGAATGGACACACGATTTAGCTTTCTGTGTATTCCGTCACGCAGAAGCTACCGTCGGTCGGGCCGCCTGGGGCTATGACGCAGCCATTGGGTTCGACAGTGCACGCAGCGCTTGCCGATCATGCAGCACAGCTGGCGCATGATGAGAGCGCCGACCCAGCGTCAGAGTGGTTTCTGTTTTTTCTGATATAAAAAGGATTACACGTGTCTACGGCAAGTTTGCGGTGGTTGTAGCAGGGTGGCTTCGCGAACGTCGGGGCTGATCTGAAGCAGGCGGACTCATTATATCGCAGTCTGGAACCGAGATGGGTCAGCGCCACGTACCCGACGAACGATGAGAGCGACGCCCAGTGCGTCAATATTTCGGTTGTTCTCCAAACAAGATATGATGGCGCAATGCGCAGAGGACATGTCATTCTGTATTTCAGCTGCATACCCTGGCCAAGGCTTAAGTTGCAGGCTGGGCGCCACTCCACTGGTAGGCAGGCCAGAGCCGAGGTCAACACCGCCCCGATGGTCGCGGAGAGAAGACAGAGTTTGTTCGACGAGGTTGCCGACGACGTTGCACTTGCCACCAGAGGCCAGGAGAACAGTTTCCAATGGCTCTCGGGAAGAGTGGTGCGAGATGGCGGGGAGCAACGGAGCTCGAGCTCTTCTCAGAACGACGCGAGTCAAAGCTGTGATGGCCCCAGTTGCCGCCGCTGGTTCGCAGTCGGGTGCTCCTGTCATCATGGTTGAAAAAGAGATGGAGGTGCATCAACGCCTGTGGCAGGTCATCGATGCAGCTCCCACGGCACGGACTCCCGACAGATCGCCACGCCCACGACTGACCCGTGAGCAGATACGAAGCACAGCTCGAAGTTTTACAGCAGGCACCGCGGCCAGCTCTGACAATTGCCACCCTAGACATCTCTTGGCGATGATCGATGCTGGATTGGAGGTGCTTGCATCGACTCACCACGCCTCGGAGGCCACCGGCATTCTTCCGAAGCAGGTTCGTTCGATTCAGGTGCCCATGCCAGGCAAACCGAGTGGTGGCAACAGGTTGTTTGCGTTGTATGCGGGCATCTGCAGAACCTGGCCGCTCGCCCGTCGCCCTTGACTCAAGTCCACGCACGACGCCCCGGATGGGAGGTGTTGGGGAGCCTGCAAAGGCAGACCCGCCATCGATTGTGCATGGGCGCAGGCAGCCAGGTCCGAGAGTGGCCAAGCTGCACATAGACACGGAGTGGCATGTGTTGCAGATTGCTCAAAGTAGTATAAGTCGGTAGTTCGTGAGGCTCTCAAGCCAGAGTTTCTTCGACATGGCGCGCCCGCCTGCTGGCCCACGATAGTCACGAGCACGTGGGCAGATATCGCGCCCGACGCGTGCTGCACGCAAAGTTCGGTCTGTCTGCAGGAGATGCGCACAGCGACCTCGGCACCATGGCTCACGTAGCTGATGAGTTCGATTCGTTTGTGCGGGGAGGGCCTTAGGTCCATTTCCCGTGCTACATCGACGTCAGCGGCATCCACAACTCGTCCAGTGACTTCGACATCGCCAAGGGCATTGCGGCGCAGGCTGTCGACCATTTCCGCACTGCGATCGCCAACCTCAGCGCTGGCATGGACCAGGGCAAGGTTGCGATCCTGGCCACGTCCAGTGAGTTGGCCCATGCAGCGCGCGAGGAGCCCAGTTTCTCCAGGACTCCGCGCAGGTCGTCGGCGTCGCATCACGAGATTGACGAATCAGCAAGGCGCGAGAGGCACGCCACGAAGATCCGAATGAAGCAAAGAATTCATTTTTCAGTTATGAGTATGAGAATTCGCAAGGCCAAAGCTTTTCGGAGCGTTTCAAGGGCCCCAAGGAAGCCCCATTTCGGAAGGTCCACAAGCTTGGGATCGCTTCCGCTCGCAGCTTTTGGGGTAAAGCCTTGGGGCCCATTCCCATGGAATGGCTTAGGCATCGGAGGCTCATTGCTAGGCGCGATTCCCCGTCCCGCGGGCGGGGGGGGCCCTTTGTTTGCCAAAGTCGTTCTGAGCGGAGACAGCAGCGCGAGGCTTGCCATGGCGCCCGCGATCCAGCAGGCTCGGTTGCGTTGGAATGCTGCTTTCTCTCTCTCTCTCTCTCTCTATATATATCTCTCTCTTTCTCTTCCTCTCTTTCTCTCGTTATATTTCTTTCTTTCTCTCTCTCTCTCTCGCTCTCTCTCCCTCTCTCTCTCTCTCTCTCTCTCTCTCTCCCTCTCTCGTTCATAGATCAGCATGCCTGAACCTCTGAGGCTTTGAGGGCATTCGAGGCCGTCAGAGCGCTCGGATTGGCGCCGCTCCAGAGGCTCTCTTGCTAGAGCCGCGATCTGCGTTGGCCGCGCGGGTTGGCGAGCAGAGGGGCCTCTGAGATAGCGCGAACATAACAACATGCACATTGACGTTGCCCCGACCCCACCCAGCCTTCATCGCCGACATGTTCGAAGTGGGAGTTCAGAGGCAGAGAGAATTTTCAGCGCTCCAAGAAGGTAGGTTTCTCCGTGGGCGCCCGACCCACACTTGACCC